TGCAACTCATATAGAATTTTTTTTTTTTTTTTTTTTTTTTTAAAATCATCTATTGACTTGCGCAATTTGTTGTTTTTACTGACCACAAGTGTAATACATGAAAGGGGTATTTATCATTTCTTGGAGTCTCTTTCTAACATTTAGTTGTGGTATAGAACTTGGAGGTAAACGAGTCCTGGAACTTGGAGGTAAACGAGTCCTCAGAACTTTTAGCTAATCTCATTTAGGTTAATAAACTTCATATTTCACCACTCTATAGTTCATCACCCATCGCCCTTGGAATTGATGGAATTCTTACTAGTTAAAAGAAAAGCTTGTCGCTTAGTTAACATATTGGCAACATTATAGGCACTGTTTACATACTCTGTCACAACACTCACATCTTGAACTTTATCATGGACTAAATGGCAGTCAAGCTCTGTATGCTTTGTCTGTCCATGGAAAATCGGGTTTGCTGCAATGTGTAAAGTAGCTTTATTATAACAAAATAGCATAGCTGCTTGAGGATATTGTATTTGCAAATCATGAAGTATCTAAGCCAGCTTAATTCAAAGAATACATTGGCCATGGACCTATTCACGGCCTCAGTCGAGGACCTTGAAATTGTGTTCTGTTTCTTAGATTTCCAAGATGCCAAAGAAGAGCCAATGAACGCACAATACCTTGTTACTGATCTTCTTGTATCTAAGCATGCCCCCAGTCCGAATTACTATAAGCTCTAAGCTTTAGGGTAGATGTCGAAGAATAAAATAATCATGGTCCTGGTGCTTGTTTAATGTATCTCAATGCTTTGTGAGCTGCATTCAAATAAGGAAGCATGGGATTCTGCATAAATTGGCTCAATAATTAGACTACATATGATATGTCAGGTATGGTTATGGTTATGGTCAAATAGAGCAACCTTCCAATGAGTCTTCTGTAAATAGAAGTACTTGGGATAAGTTCTTCTTCTTCATCCTTCAAAAGCTTGAGGTTTTGATCAAGTGGTATTTTGGTTGGTTTTGATCAAATTGTTCCAGAATTTGCCAATATGTCTAGCTCATATTTTCTTTGGCAAATATAAATCCCCTTTTATGATCTTGCTGTCTCTACACCGAGAAAATTCTTCAATTACCCCAGATCTTTGATTTTGAATCTGTCATTAAGAGAGGCTTTGAGAGATGAGACGATGTCCATGTCATTGCCAGATACTATGATGTTGTCAACCTAAACTAAAACTATATTGAAGAATTCTTTGATTGTCTTTGAATAAGCTATAATGTACCTTTGATTGTTGAAAGCCTTGTTGAACAATAAAATCAGATGACTTAGAATTCCATTATTGTGAAGCTTGCTTTGAACCATACAAACTTTTATTAAGCTAACAAAACTTTGCCTGGCCCTCCTTCGAATACCCTTGTGGCATTTCCATATATACTTTCTCCTCCAGATCTCCATGGAAGAATACATTATTTACGTCAAACTGGTACAAATACCTGCCTTTAGATGCTGCCATGACAAGTAAGGTATGAGTAGTTACCATTTTTGTAATAGGGAAGAAGGTTTCACGACAGTCTAGTCCTTCTTGCTAAGTATGTCCTTTAGCTACTAGTCTGACTTTATAATTTCCAATACTTCCATCGACATTGAATTTAAATTTGTAAACCTTCTTTCAACCTATAGCTACCTTTTGTCCTTTCCATGAGGCAAATCGATAATAACCCAAGTGCCATTCAATTCTAGAATATGCATCTCAGCTTTTACATCGTTACGCCACTCAACATATTTTTGGGCTTGTTGGTAGCAACTAGGTTTAGTATGTGTTAAAATGGAAGTGACAAAGGTTTTATAATTACTTGATAGTTTATGATATGACAATATAGCACATAAAGGAGAGGGAGTACCTGACTTTGTATGGACCTTATCCTTGTTCGACTCCTGCAAATGAGGAAGTGATGCCCGCTGACAAATGAAGTCTTGTGGATGTGAGGGTGCTTTTCTATTTCTGGTGGATCGTCAAGGAAAATGATGGATAATGGTGGTATCTTGGGAAGGCCCTGGAATTGGTTTCATCTCTTCTTCATAAACAATATTTCCGGTGAGTGATTTATTTCTTCTGCAATTCGAATCTTGAGTTGGAGGCTTTGGTCATTTGAGTATTCTAAATCAATGTCAGTTGGTTGAGTGTGTTGGAAATAAAAAATTATGGGATGAAAGATTAGAGATAAAAATTCAGAATACAAAAATATTTGTATTATATGACTTGGCTCAATAAAATGTCTCAAGCACAAGGTCTTTTATAGGTACAAAAGATCCCAAATACATTGTATGAACTTAATAGACTAATTAATGACTTTTCCTACATACAATGAATAAT